ATGGAGTCCTGGACGACAAGTTGCAGAAACTGTTGAAGAAGAGGGTGAATCGAGTCAGTTTGCTGAGGTGAAAGCCATCCAGCTGGCCCTGGACATAGCTGAACGAGAAAAGTGGCCAGTACTTTACCTCTATACTGACTCATGGATGGTGGCAAATGCCCTGTGGGGGTGGTTGAAGCAATGGAAGCAGAGCAACTGGCAATGCAGAGGTAAACCCATCTGGGCTGCTGCACTGTGGAAAGATATTGCTGCCAGGGTGCAGAACCTGGTGGTGAAGGTACGTCATGTAGATGCTCATGTACCCAAGAGGCGGGGCACTGAGGAACACCAGAACAACCAACAAGTGGATAAAAGCGGCTAAGATTGAAGTGGCTCAGATGGACTTAGATTGGCAACATAAAGGTGAATTATTTTTGGCCCGGTGGGGCCATGACACTTCAGGCCATCAGGGCAGAGATGCAACATACAGATGGGCTCATGATCGAGGGGTGGACTTAACAATGGACGCTATTGCCCAGGTTATTCATGAGTGTGAAATATGTGCTGCAATTAAACAAGCCAAGCGGCTAAAGCCTCTTTGGTATGGAGGACGATGGTTGAAGTATAAATATGGGGAAGCCTGGCAGACTGACTATATCACACTGCCACCAACCCGCCAAGGCAAGCGCCATGTGCTTACCATGGTGGAAGCAACCACCGGGTGGCTGGAAACATACGCTGTGCCCCATGCCACTGCCCGGAACACTATCCTGGGCCTTGAGAAACAGATTTTGTGGCGACACGGCACCCCAGAGAGAATTGAGTCAGACAATGGGACTCATTTCCGGAATAACCTTATAGATGTTTGGGCCAAAGAGCATGGCATTGAGTGGGTATATCACATCCCCTACCATGTACCAGTCTCTGGGAAAATCGAACGGTATAATGGGCTGTTAAAAACTACACTGAGAGCAATGGGTGGGGGAACTTTCAAGCATTGGGATACACACTTACCAAAGGCCACCTGGTTGGTCAACACCAGAGGATCTGCCAACAGGGCTGGCCCAGCCCAGTCAGAACTCTTACATATTGTAGAGGGGGACAAAGTTCCTGTGGTGCACATGAAGAATTTGCTGGGGAAGACAGTCTGGGTTATTCCTGCTTCAGGTAAAGGCAAACCCACTCGTGGGATTGCTTTTGCTCAAGCACCTGGATATACTTGGTGGGTAATGTGGGAAGATGGGGAAGTCCGATGTATACCTCAAGGGGATTTGATTTTAGGGAAAACAGCCAAGGAACTTAATTGTATGCTGCTGCCTGCTGTGTAATACTTTTATAGCCCATCAGCTAGGTGTCCCCATGTCACCAGCGACTAGCCCTGACTTCCCTCCAACCATCATCCCAACAGAGAATGAACTTTGATAGAACCGGATGAGTTCCGCAGTAAAGGAATGATCAGCATCAGCAGGCAACAATCCAATACTGTACATAGCCTATCCAGTCCTGAAAGATTGTTACAAGAGGTGAAACCTGACATTATAGACCGAATGGACTCAGCAGCATTATAGGGATTGGTCCATGCACTAAGAAAATGATCTCTTTCTTTTGGTCTGTGTGTATATGGATGTATATATGTGGGAGAGCGATGGGTTACTGAAAATGTGGGATCTGAGCATGGCGTAAATGGTATGGAATATTGTCATGCCCGGGGGAGTAACTGGGAGTTACCCGGAAGGACACGGGCTTCTGGGTTGGACTCGTTTCTTGGCGGGTGGTATTGTATTCTCTTCCCTTGTTATTTTCTCTTATCACTGTTGTCACTGGTGGTAGCGGTGGTGATTTGTGTTGTATTTTGGTTGCTGGACTGTTCCTGTTTCAACCCGTGGGAGTTGCACTCTTTCAGTTCTCCTCCCCATCCCTCACAGAAGTGGGGAAGGGGAGAGCCCTCGGGGGGGGGCTCAATTGCTTCCAGCCCAGCACCACTCACTGGGAGTGAGTGAACAAGCTGTCTGGCTAGGGTTTAAACTATGACAGAGGGAAACAACACTGAGGTACGCATGACTTTGAGGATTTATCCCCGTGCGTCTCAGCGCTGAATAAAAAGCATACCTACTTTACAACTTCTAACGAGTTGTGGAGTCAATCCACGTATCAATTTGGTGAGCCAGGCAGGAGTCCTCTGTTAGGCTGCAGGATCGGCTGAGGGGCAGACATCCTAGGCGCCCCAGACTGCTTGCCTGGAGGAGCTCCGCTTCTCGTCTGCTCACTGCGGGGACAGACAACAACCTGTGCCGGCTGCGGAGAAACGGTATGCTTGAAATTTAGGTAATTTAGGGGGCCTGTAAAGCGTACACGTGGCCTGGGGCTGCTGGTAAGGCACACAGAGACGTCTGGCACACAGCAAATTTCCCCTTGGCAGGTAGGGCTTGCAAGCAGGGGGCTCGTCGACCAGTAGAGCGGCTGCGAGCGGTCCTGAAGGCGGATCAGGCGAGTCCAGGTTTTCACTGCATCCCAAGTTTTGGGAGCCAGGAAGGACCTGATAATGACCGTAGTGGAAGCAGGTGAAGGGTAGGCGAACCCACCAGGTCTCCGCTGCATCTCAAATTCTGGGAACCGGGACGGACCTGCTACCATAAGAAGCAGAAGAAGGGTAAGCGGAACCATAGTGTGAGTGTGTGGGATCCCATGAGTAGGTGTGTTGGTGTTTCTGTGTGACTGAGAGGTAGCATAGCTACAAAGCAAGTGTGCAGTCCTGATCCGCGGTTCCATGTTCTCCCCGAGGAGAGCGGCCAGAGACGGACGAAGCATATTTGTCTTGTGTTGTGTCTAAGTGTTTCATGTGTTGTTAGTGTTAAAGATTACAGGGTTTAAGTGGTGGGGGAGAAGTAGACAAAAGTAAACTGTGGCTAATGGGGGGGTTAAGAAGAGTTTCCTCTCTGCGCCCCAGTGGCTGTATAAGAGAAGTATAATCTGTCTGTAGTCCTACTCTTGAGATCTGGACTTTACACTCAGTACCAGAGGCTTGTAGCCTCACATATGGGTGCATAATAACTTTTGAACAGTGGAACCTGCCGTGGATACTAGGACAGTGTAAATTTTGCTGGAACCAAAACTATGATCTAACAAAAGGGGAGTTGATCTGCAGAACCCAGAGATATTATTTTACTGAACTCCCTGAGAATATCATAAAACTTGTGTGTAGGTGCTCTCATATTTTTTTAAGTGCATTCGCAGTGCACTGGGAAAGAGAAGCTATAGAGATTTGTAAAACATTGTTTGAAATGGGAGCCGGTGAAAACAATGGAATTCTGAAGAAAAGCCCATTGGGTTACATTTTGGCACATTGGAAAGAATTGGGAGGGTCTTCTGGGGGCTCAGTAAACAAGAAAACGTTGATAAAATATTGTAACCAATAGTGGCTTTTATATACTTTGGAAGATCAGGAGAAATGTCCTAAGAATGGAACTCTGAATTATAATACATTGTTACAATTAATGTTGGTTTTGAGGTGGCCAGGAAAATGGGATGAAGTAATATATACAGATATATTTTTCACTTTAAGAAACCACCCAGAGTGGCAGACAGAGTGTGAAATTAATATAGCTCTGCCAGATCCCTAATTTTAGCTTTGGAAAAGGACAGGGAAAAACAGAAAGCTAAGCTGGAGAGATGTCGTTCAGCCTGTGATATTGGGGGAAAGGTGTTTAAAAGTTAAAAAAACAGTAATCAGGAAAATAAATAGGAAAATTATATATCACAGGTACCTCCAAGAGGAGCACTCTCTATATCTGTCCTATCAGATATTGATAAGGAGGAGGAGATTGCTGTCACTGGCAACAAGCAGCACATTCACATTAAACCAGAAGTGCTGTTGCAGAGACAGGCATCTGTAATCCCTGCAGAGCAGGGTGGGCAACTGCGAGAAAAAAAAAAAAAAAAAAAGGGAAAACCAAGGTGGAAAGGAGTGCTGGGGCAGGCAAACAAGTGGGAACAGACATGTTGACAGACGGGACAACTGGGGTTGTTGAATAAATGTGGACAGGAGTGAGCTAGGTCATGCTAGTTGCGGTGGTGGCTTTGAAACTGGTGGAGGAGGAATGTCAGGCAAAGGTGGGGGAAGTGGGTTCTTCTCCTATGGGACCAGATCGGTGTGTGTGTGCTGTGGGGAGTTTTGAAAGTTGGAAGTGAGAGTGCCCTGGGGAGGAGTGCCATAGGGTGGCTCCGGTGGATGAATTGGAACTAGATTGACAAGGGACCTGGGGAATCTACCCTAGCAGATCCACTGGTTAAATTAAAACTAGGGACTAGAGGAAATAAAGTGGAATTTTAGTGGATACAGGAGCAACTTATTCAGCGTTAAATCAGAGGGAAAAGAATTTGTTACAGATGTGGGAGCTACTGGCCACCAAGGAAAAGGAAAAAAAAAACAAAAAAAAAAAAAAGGAAAAATAAAAGGGAAAAAAAGGCATTCTTTCTGAAACGCTTAAAGTACAAATTGGGAAAACAAATAGGAATGCATAAAATTTTTATGCAGGCTAAATTCTCTGAAGTCTTCATTAGGGCAAGAAGCAACATTTAACGAAGGCAAAATGGAATTTAGAGTTAAAAATCAATTAATTACAGTTTTGAGTTTATCTTTAATTCAACAGAAAAAGCAAACAGGAGGACCTCCCTGAAATAGAAGAAATCCTTAATCCAGGTATATCTGGGAGTATGGGCATCTGAAGTTCCAGGTAAGGCGAAAAATGCTTTGCCTGTTAAAGTGGAAATAAAAAGGGGGGCCTGCCCAATTAGAATAAAACAATATCCCCTAAAATTGCAGGAAAGGGAAAATTTAAAAAAATAAAATATTAATTGAATGTGAATTGGAATATAATACTCTTAACTTGCCAATAAAGAAAAGTTGAAGATTGGTTCAGGATCTCAGGAATAAACAAATTTATAGAGGTTATTCATCCAGTAATAGCTAATCCATATACTAAATTGAATCAGAAATGATTTGCCGTCTTGGATTTAAGGACTCTTTCTTTTGCTTACCATTGGCCAAAGAAAACCAGAATTTATTTGCTTTTGAATGGGAAAATCCTGACACAGTAAGGAAAACCCAATTAACTTGGACAGTATTACCTCAAGGGTTTTAAAACAGTCCAATGATTTTTCAAAAGTCATGGAAACCACCCACTCAGACGGGGACTCTGTTACAGTATGTGGATGACCTATCAATTGCTACTGAAACAAAGGAAGAATGTGTCCAGTGAATGGTGGGATTATTGAATTTTCTGGGACTGAATGCTTATTGGGTAACCAGACAAAAGACCCAACTAATCCAAACCTGAGTTTCCTACATAGGATATGAAATAACAGGAGGACAGAGAAAACTTGGAACGGCTAGAAAAGAAGCCATTTGTCAAACTCCACGACTGTCAAACGTCAAGGAGCTTCGGACGTTCCTGGGAATGACTGGACGATGCAGACTCTGGATGCATGATTATGGTGTTCTGGTAAGACCCCTATATGAACAGGGAATAGCTTTGGTCGTCCTTACTCAGAAACTAGGACCCTGTAAGAGGGCAGTGGTGTATTTTTCAAAACAGCTGGATGAAGCGAACAAAGGATGGCCCGGATGCCTAAGAGCTGTGACAGCAGTTGTCATGAATATTGAAGAGGCATATTTACCTTGGGACAAAAGATTACTGTATTAATGTCCCATGTTTTATCAGCAGTCCTGGAACAGAAAGAAGCCCACTGGTTATCTCCTTCATGTTTTTTAAAATACCAGGCCACCCTTCTGCAACACGATGATATAGAAATTGTGGTCACTAATGTTGTGAATCCAACATCCTTTTGCAGGAACAACCGACAGAACTATTAACACACAACTGCTTGGCCACTATATGAAACTGTATATTCAAGCCAACCAGATTTGAAGAAAACCTCTGGAACATGCCCTGGAATTGGCTAAAGACAAAAGGATAAATATTTGGACTGATTCTAAATATGCACTTGGTGTAGTCCATGCACATTGTGCCATCTGGAAAGAACGAGGACCTTTGAACACACAGGAGAAACAGATTAAACATGCTACAGAAATTCTACGACTACTGAAAGCTGTTCAGCTACCTGAGGAAGTAGCTATTATGCACTGTCGAGGGCATCAAAAAGGTGAATTTTGGCCGCTTCTGAAACCAAACGAGAAGATGAACAATCTAAACTCATTCCCTTAATCCCTGACAGCAAACTAACAATTGAGAAATCTAAACCTAGATATTCAAAGGAGGATAGAAAATTGATTGGAGATCTCAAAGGAGAGGAAAACAAAGAAGACTGGGTTCAGATACCTGATGGGCGAATTATAACCCCCTATAACCAACTCTGGAAGCTAGTTCAGGAGGAACATAATAAAACTCATTGAGGTAGCAAGTCTTTGTATAAATACTTAGATGAACAAATTGAAGGAAGGAATCTATATACCATAGTTCAGTTAGTGACAATGTCAGCTCTGTCTCAAGAATAATCCTAAAATTGAAAATAGAAAGCAAATTGGTACAACTGGGGAGGAAGTTATCCAGGACAGCACTGGCAAATAAATTTTTCTGAATTACCAAGAACAGGAGGTTACCAATATTTGTTGGTGTTAACGAATACTTTTTCAGGGTGGCCAGAAGCATTCCCTTGTAGAATAAATAATGCAAGACAAGTAATTGGAACATTGTTAAACAGTATAATACCTTGTTTTGGAGTATCAGAGACAATTTCTTCCGACCGAGGCTTGCCCTTTAGTGCAAAATAGCTACAAGAAATCAGCAAAAATTAGAAACTGATTGGCAACTACATGTTCCTTACAGGCCTCAGGCCAGTGGTCAAGTAGAAAAAATAATCAAACAACAGATTAGTAAAATATGTCAAGATATTGGTACCAAGCCTTACCACTGGCTCTTTTAAGAATTTGAACTAAACCTCGGTCGAAAGAAGAGGCTATCCCATGTAAAAATTTTATGTGGACAACCATATCAGTCCCAATTTAAAGGAGAAAGTCTTCTGGAAGTCGGAGAAGGTTATCTCCTAAAGTTTCTGGTCAATCTGGGAAAACAATTAGAAGAAATAAGAGAATACTGAGGACAAGAGTGAGAGGCATGGATTATCCAACTCACCCTTTTAGATCCAGAGACTGGGTTTATGTTAAGAATTTTTCAGGAGATCCTCTACAGGAGAAGTGGAGCGGACTGTATCAGATAATATTGACCACCTTTACAGCAGTGAAGATAAAGGAACAACCTGCTTGATACATTATTCAAGAATAAAGAAAGCACCAGAACCAGAGAAGACATGGCTGATCGAACCCTCAGGACCCTCTCATGTGAAATTATATCAGTTGTAATTTAGATTTATGTGATAACTGACATACCAGCTTGGGACTAATACTTATACCTGAAATTACTGCAGAATGTTACTAAAGTTGTTAATTGTAGTGACTATTGAGTGTGTGCACAGTTGCCTGAATCAGGAGAAGATCGAGGCCTTCTATTAATTGGCATTCCAATTTCCAACACTATCTCTTGGACAATTTTAAGATTTGGAATAGTTAATCCTAATCCAAGTAAAGAATATTATACCTGTATACAAAGATGTATTACACTAGGAACCAGAATAGGAGGCTATGTTTGTTTAAATGCCACAGGTGTAGGTCACTATTCAAATTATACTCATACTATTAATATAGATGGTATCATGGTTCAGTAGTGGACTGTTCCTGAAGGAAAGGATGGTATTGGTTAAGCAAGGGTTTAACCCTGTTGTTGAACAGAATACTGCATTTCATAGTTTTGTGATGAAACAAGGGGGCACAAAATCACAAAATGGAATATAGAAACCTTTAGAATCAGTTTTAAGTAATGTTAAGTTTGATGGCTTTGTAACAGTAGCAATGGAAAATTACTGAGTTGCATGATACATAAAGAAAAAAATAAAGTACAGCTAGAGAACATACTGAGAATTCTCACAAGATAAATTGTTATAGTTGTTATAGTTGTGACATAGTTTAAGAAAAACAGTCTAGAAGAACAGGACACATGGATAAGGATTATCTGGGAACCGCAGGTGTCCAGGATGGGCTACAGTTAAAGTAACTGGTGAGTAGGAGGATAGGAGGATTATTATGTCTCTGGTGCTAACGAACCAATTAAACTGGTATGAGCAACTACTGCGCATGCTTCAAAGACTGCCAGAAGTGATGAAGATCATTGGAAGAAGTAAACGACCCTCAGAGACCACCACCACAATTCTATACACATGCGGGGAACTTTCTGGAAAATTATGTAATCCGTATGTAGCCTCATGAATATGTATGTATGCCCAGTGGCTATAAAAGGATGGCTTCTGTGGCAATCGGGAGACACACATTAGGAGGAGCTATCCACCGTGTCTCCCGGCGCCGCAATAAAGAATACCTGCTTGTCAGCTTGAAAACTTTGTTGGCAAGTTTGTTCCTGGAGTTTTCTCCGTATCAGTGAGATGGCTAATTCCATCTTTGGGAGTAAGCGAATTAGAGAAGGCAATCATAAATATCTCAGCAACCACAGAGGAAATAGAAAGTAAAACCATTGATATAATCCAAGTGGAACAAGAATCAATGAAAACTGCTGTTCCTGAAACAGATCTGGAGGAAATCTGGAAACAAACTAAAATATTTCATAAAATGGGCAAGGATGATACCTCCTGGGGGTTTGAAGAAATGTGGAAAAAGTTTCCTTCATGGTTACCTGATCTCTCCTGGTTAAGGCAACTGGTTGCAGGAATATTCATATTAGTTGTTTTAATATTGATTACTTGTGGTATAACAAAATTTTCTTTCTGGAATTGTAAACAATCTGTGATAAATTATGAAGATTGAAAAAAGAAATGAAATTTAAATATCAAGTAGAAACAGATAACTATTTCAAAAAGACTCTGGATGGTAATGGCAGTATATAAAATGTTGCAAAAGAACTTGCAAAAGGACAGAAAAAGGGGTATAAACATTTGTTGGTACTAACAGATACCTTTTCAGGTTGGCCAGAAGCCTTTCCAACTAGAAGCACACAAGCCCGGGAGGTAACAAAGATTGTTATAGGATGGTTGTGAGGTTTTTGAAGGTATGTGCTGCATGAACTTATCTGACCATTCTGAATCAATTCATGCTAAGCTGCAGAAATTGGAGGAAAATATGCAAGAGCTTAGAATTGTTGGAGGCAGATTGGATGAATGGCTAAATAACCTAGGAGAGTTACTGGATAGTTCGGGGAAATACTTAAACAAGGCCTTCTAATCTTAGCTATATGAGTACTCATTGTAATGATTGTACCTTGCATAATACAATGTATATCTAAATCACTTCATAAATCGATAGAAGGAACATGGATAGCTCTGTCATAAATAATATAGTAAAAGAATTTACTCACTTTATAGAAAAAGGGGGGATTAATGCAGAGGGTTGACCAATGCGGGGATAGGACATGAATACGTATAGGCGTATTGTGCAACCTTATGAATATATACAACTTTAGAGAATAAATGTAGAGGGAAACAACACTGAGGTACACATGACTTTGAGGAATTATCCCCGTGCGTCTCAGCGCTGAATAAAAAGCATACCTACTTTACAACTTTTAACGAGTTGTGGAGTCAATCCACGTATCAGTAGTAGCAGTTTCATATAAAACTTTAGTTATTGGTCTGTTCTTACCTCAACCTGTGGGAGGTACATTCTTTCGATTCTCCTCCCCATCCCTCCAGGAGCAGGGGGAAAGAAGGGGGGGAGTGAGCGAGTGACCGCATGTCTCCAAGTTACTGGCTGGTCTTAAACCACAACAGCACAGCACAAGCTTATGATAAATGAAGATGTTTTCTAAAAAGGGATTATTAAATATCTCCCTTTACTTGGAGAGAAGACAGCAATGTTGTGATTCAGATGGAAGGAAAGAGTGGCACTTATCTTCTTGAGAAGAGAAAATCAAAAAGCCAAATTGGTCCTATATCATAATATGCTACATGCTGTGAATGCAAGAAGACGATGCATTATGAAAGCTGAGAATTAAGTACACTTCATTTTTTTTATCTAGACCAGCTATTGGTGACTTGGAAAGGATACT